AATCCTATATTTATGTATAACGGTTCACACATATTCACACATATACATATACATACTTGTACGCGTTCATATATGGATATTTATGAATCTAAGGAATTAAATGATAATTTTCAAAATTAGCCAAAATTTACGTGGCTATTCCATTTTCCACAGTCAATCGATTTTTTTAAAAACCAAATTACGGGATGCCGAGTAAAAAAAAAAATGAGGAAAATTTATTCTTCGAGAAAATACACGTTCTAATTGGTCCATCTCAGCGGCCCTCTCAAAGCCCAAATCTGAATGTTATGTATTACTGTATCTGGAGTATACCCCTAAATCACTTACAAAATCTTCGTCGTGACATCGTCCATATTGATTCATTGAAGTGAAACTTAACTGAAGCTTGGAATGAAATTCCTCTTGCCACCATCCGCAAAGCTACTGCCTCCTGGTTAACACGTTTAAAACTTTGTGTTGAACATTCAGACAAACATTTCGAACATCTACGATGATTGTTCAATTTGTCCATGAATCATGATAGCTACCGTATATACGCGCGTACCACGCAACGTTTAAAGACGTAATTTTGAAGCTAATTTCACTACAGTAAATGGATTTACAGTTTGGCCAATGGCGTAGCCAGGGCCAGCAGTACATATGCTAATTTTATATCTCGTGTATGATGCGACGACTTTAAAAATTAGCTTCAAAATTAGGTCTTCAAATAAGACACATATACACACTTAATCATATAATGTGTATATTAGAGGCATTTTTGTGGGTGCCTTGTTTTTCTTCATATTATGGTTTGCATTGGGATGTCTAGTCTGTTTGCATACATTATTTTTAATCCTCCCCTCCCCCTTCCAAGCAAGGCGGGAATGCCACTAGAACACAGGGGTTTACAGCAAGTGAGAGTGAGGGAAAAGACTGGAAAAACGGGCGGACTGATGAGGATAACCAAGCTGATGGCGGCAGAGAATTTTCTCCATCACACACACATATATATACATATATATTACATACACATATTCACACACACACATACACACGTACGCACGCGCACACACACACACACACACACACACACACACACACACACATATATATATATATATATATATATATATATATATATATATATATATACCTATTAGAGCCGTTGGGGGTCAGTATGTTGTTAAATTAGCCGACTCCAAGCAGGTCCCTACCCTTCTCTTCACTTGCTCGTATACCGCTTTGAGCTTTTTATTGTTTTCCGAAGATCGGTGATATTACGTAACGTCCTGGTCTTAGGTTGAGTACTGTAAGATTCAATTATTTCCTAATCAGACTGGTAGGCTTTGTTTTTAATCAAAATTTTGGTCAGATGTATTACGACGAACAGTCAGTTAGTTTAGATTGTTGTCATGCAGAATATTTCTGCAGTGTTCATATGATCTTTTTTGAGGTTTCTGGTTGTTTCGCCGATGTACATTGATGGGCATTTTGTACAGTCTATTTTGTACAGTATATTTTGTATATCTCTGTTTCACTTCTGATGTTGTTGTTATCTCTTTTGATGTTAATTATGTCTCATATTGTTTTAGAATTGGTGTCGACGGTGGTTGTTATGAAGTCGGTAGGTAGGAGAATATTTTGGATTTTCTTATGGTTGTCGGGATTATAAATATTTGTGGATTTTATTTTGTGTGTTTCTCTTCTATGGATTTTGTAGGTTTTGCGTTCGGCATTGTATTGGAAATAATTCGAGTATTTAAGGATTTTGAATGTATCTTCTATGTAGTCGCCATCTATAAAATGAATACCCGCCCGGCCCGGTGGCTAGGATCAAAGTGTAGTATCTGCGCTTTGTGAGCTGCCGGGTCGGGTGTCTGTCGAACTCTCTGCTTGCAGAGAGGAACCCGGACGAAGCTCCGCCGAAGGGTAGGGTTTCGTTGGGGGAGGTTGACGGAACTGGCCCGCCTCGGCGGGTTTGGATGGTTATTTATTTTTGGATGGGCCTACGGGCTCAGAGATACCCACATTAAAAAGGCCTTGTGCCACATTCGATCCCCGTGGGTGGATTGATAAATACCATCTTCTATGTAGTTCTATTCTTCGGGCTGGAACTGTGGATTACAAATTCTAAGGACCTTTAAATAAAAGCTTATACTTACTCCATATTGTATTTTATAGTTGTGATGGGAATAAAAGTCTATTAGTTAATTATTGTTTGTTGGTTTCGATAAACCTTTCAATAAACCTTTTGATACACACACACACAGCGTAATATTTATCTATGTATCTATATATATGTATCTATTTATCTATACACACACACACATATATATATATGTGTGTGTGTGTGTGTGTGTGTGTGTGTGTGTGTGTGTGTGTGTGTAGAGAGAGAGAGAAAGTGAGAGAGAGAGAGAAATAATCAACTTGGTAGTGGAGGTAGTTGGTTTTTTACACTCTGAAGCAAAATTCGTTGAGCATCTCGAATTAAAAAGACTGCGCTAAACAAGCTAAAATTCGAGAAACACATTTTCAGCCCAGGTCAAACATAAAAAGAAGTAGAAAGAAAGAAAGAAAGAAAGAAAGAAAGAAAGAAAGAAACGAAACGAAACGAAACGAAAGAAACGAAACGAAAGAAACAAAAGAAAGAAAGAAAGAAACAAAAGAAAGAAAGAAAGAAACGAAACGAAACGAAACGAAACGAAACGAAAGACAAAAGGAAGAAAAAGAACCAAAGAAAGAAATGCAAGAAACAAGTGAAATGGAAAGAAACGGAAGGCAAAAAAAGAAAGAAAGAAAACAACGATAGACAAAAAGAAAGAGTTGAAAGAAGAAAGAAACAAAAAGAATTAAGAAACGAAAGAAAAAGAAAGAAACAAACAAAAGAGCGAAAAAAAAGAAAAAAGGAAAGAAATGATTTGTACAGAATTATTGCATTTTTATGTTAAAATAATTTTCTCAGGTATCTACGAAGTAAGGTCTATGTCAATGAGATTTACTGCTGCATATCGAATGGGAAGTCGAAAATCCGCGATGTCCAGTGTGTGAAAAAAAAAAAAAAAAAAAACGGTTTTAAGATATCCACCTAATTAATCATCGACTGCTTGTTGGTACGCACCCACCCACACATGATCTTCCATGTTTCATTTGAATGTATTTACTAACAGCCTTTTTTTTTAATTTCTTTTTACCGACAGATGGCATCAGTTCCCGGAAGTTCGCTGAGGTGCTAATTATATCATTGCGATTGTTGGTCGATGTTAACGGAAGACGTTAAGAAAACGACGTCCATGTTGGTCGCTTCTGTCTTTAACGCTCTGTTTGAGAGAAGGCTAAAAATAAAGACGGAAGATCATTACAGTTAAAATATGTCAGATAAGACAAACCAGACGCTAATATGCAGCAACGAAAATATCTACAGTTATCTTCCCTTTAATCGTATTTATTCGCGCCATCGTATTATCTTGCGTGTGGAGAACTGCATTTAGT